TGCTGCTAGGTTTGTATAAAATGTTCTTTATATTTTGTTTCTGCTTGTTGAAGATGTTTGCTGCATAATAAGTAATATTATGCAGGTAAGACTATGCTATGCATTGGTACTGGATACTTTCAACTGAACAGCAAGATATAAAATATAAAAAAATAAATATTACGGTTAACGATGATTTAAAAACTTACAATACATTGAAACAAATAAAGGTGCTAAAATCCAAGTACTAGTGTTTAGAGATAACTCTAGCCTTGATTTAAAGAGCAGCACAGCACTTCCATTCAAAAGGGTAAGGCCTTGACATATCTGGTACCAAACATGACATTTCAGACTCCTATCCCTTTCTTACATAGCTACCATGCATCCCATAGGAATAAACATCTAACTTTGAGCAATGAACAACAGAATTGCCTAAATTTATCTTACATTTGCAGATATTAGTACAAAGCACATTCTGTTCCATAGAAAAGGAGCTTTAAACAGTTTCTTTCCATTCAAAGGCCTTCTTACAGTGCAAAGTATAAGTTTAAACGCCTACAATAGTAATAACCATGTATATGTGTTGGATTTGCTGAAGTGGGATGTGGCCAATGAAAGCTTATTTCACTATTATCTATTATTTAATTACATTTAAATCTCACCTTTTTTTTCCTCTTCAAAGAACTCAAAGCTACTTACATGGTCCATTTTATCCTCACAGCAACTCTCTGAGGCAGGTTAGTCTGAGAATCAGTGACTGGCCCAAATTCACCCAGTGTGAGCTTCGTGGCTGAGAGGGGACTAGAACCTGGATCTCTCAAGTTCCAGTCCAACACTCTAACCACCACATCACACTGGCTGTCCAGAACAACAAATGATTGTTAGAAGTTAATGTGTAGCAGGACTCATCTTTTGCTGAAATGAACTAACACAGGTACAGTTTAGGAACTTACATTCCACATTTATGTTGCATTCCTTGTGTAAAAGTCCCTTTATCATCTCAAAGAAGTCAGATGTGAGTGCAGTCAAGCAAACAGCTTCTTAAGTGATCAGTTGTTATACCAGATCTTATCTCAGTGTAAGAAATACACATGGAAACATGCAGAGGTTGCTGACATGCCTCCACGAGATCCTTCTTCTATTTTGGACCAGTTAGCCAATGCTGAAAACTATTTAAAAGAATCCGCATCAAAGAACAAAGCCCTTAATCCCATTTGTGTCCACGGGCATACCCACTCACCAAAAGCAACTTGTCAATCAAGTAGATACCACCCAACATGCCCGAGTGAATAGGCCTGTTTCAATCTGGGATTTTGCATTTTAAATCTCAATGAGAAATTCCACATTTGACAACAAACTGAGCCAAGCCTCCTTTAGCTCAGTTTAAGATGATTAAAACCATGCTACCCAGGAAAAGAGAGATAATATGAAACACCAGAGGTTTTCTAAGGGACGGAACTAGGAACTGATATGCAAAAGCACTGTGAATGTCTAAATCGTATCTTTGGTTCAGCAATCCAAGTGCAAATACTCTAATCATTTTGCCTGCTGCAGGCAAGGAAGCCTGCTGTACCGGAAGGCTGCTCCAGGACCAGTTACGAAGGCAAAGCTCTTATTCTGGCGGATTTATATGTATCACATCCACACACACACAGAGAGAGAGAGAGAGAGAGAGAGAGAGAGAGAGAATAACTTAATGAGAACAATCACTAATAGTTGAAGAATTCTAATAAAAAAGCTCAGCATTATTCCCAATTGATACATACTTCTCAAATATTCATTCAACCCATTCCTCAAAAGCCCACTTTTCTCAAGGCCTTTGGCTTAACCTTGTAATCCCCATCCCAACTGTAACAAAGTTGATGTGCACATGATCACTGCATTGCCCCTCATCCACCACTTGCCACCCTTTTCTCCCTCCCCTGCGATTGTTTTGCACAGCCTGTTTCAGGTTGCAAGCTGAAACAGTTACTCTATGAATCCTTACAAAGTGTCATGTATGCTGTTAGGCATAAATAAATCCAAAGCTTTATCTAAAATAATGGAAACAGTATTTCATACTTAGAAGATCAAGAGCTTCATTTTGCCAGAAGACTGTATTTCCCACAAATATTATAAAACCTGAGCATCTCTAATAATTCATCTTTTAATTAGGTTTTTGAGAAATTCAGTACAAAGTCTTACACAGCAGTATCTAACATTATATGCCACATGCAAAAGGGCATCAGCTTCATGCCATTTTCTTCTCGATACAATACCATACACACAAAGCACAAAAAAGAGAAGCCAGAATCAGCCTGCTATTTCATTTACATTTGTAACATCAGCTAACAGTTCCCAAGAAAGAAATAGAGGCGCATCTCTATAAATGTATCATTTTATAATGGGTTAATTTTGAAAAAAGTTCTAATTGCTAGATTATTTTTGCCAGGCCAATCCTACACTGAATTATGGCAAACTCAAACAGTCCTTGATTTCCACAAGTGTTCGAAGAGCTTTAAGAATTCAGAATCAGACCCTTGGCATTACTATAGGGCAGCTGATTTTGTACAGCCCAATACTATGCATGTCCATTAAAAGCTAGTTCTTGTAGGTTCAGTAGGGTACCTCTCAGGTAAGTTTATATAAAATTGCAACTAGAAAGTCTGTTCTCTAATAACTTAAGTGCAATCCTATACACATTTATTTGGGAATAAATCCTGCCAAACTCAGTGGGGCTTACTTCTGAGCAGACTTGTATCAGATGGTATCATAGTCTGATAGAATTTGTTCTGAAGCTTGGCACAGCAGATCTTAAACTATTTCTAACTTTTTTGTGTATGACGAAGGATATTTAAAAATAAAATAAAGCCTATGTGCTCCCTTGATTGTAGTTCCTATTTAGATTTAACTACAGAATGGTTCCTTCTAAATTAAAGGCGTAACGCTACAAATTAAATTTCAAGGAAAATAGTGACACACTATTATGGTTTAAGGGCTGGAGCTATTTCTGTGATCATTCGCAGATAGGAATGAACTGATTATTTCCAAAGGGACTGCTTGCATGAGTAAGGATTACTCATGCACACAGAAAGACTGCAAGATCAAATCCTAAACATTTAGTACTGAACAAGTGTAAGCACTTTGTCACCCTCACCCCAGGTAGAAACCTTTCTGAACTTTATATCCCAGTGGAATTTGTATGCATGTTTGACAGCCAGACCGACAGAAAGAGAGAGCCCAGCAGCTGCGTCTCAGAGGTCAATAGTGTGTGGAGCTCAGAAGGACGGAATCAATGTTCCACGATAGCTCCAGAGAAGGGAGGGAGGGTACATGTGTGTTGCAGCGGGTAAACAAATAATACAGAAAACTTTGAAAAGGGGACCACTGCAGAGCTTCATGTTAGATCACAATGATTGCAAAGGACTAAAAACATTTGGAGGGAAAGTCCACACTGCTTCTTGCCATGAGTTTATAAGCATACATTCAATGGAAGGCTTGTCCTTCAGCAGGTCATGTACACTTAAAACCTTTCATTCAGTTCTGCTGTTGAAAGATTTATCTTATTACTTGGGTCTGGACTAAAGGAAGCCCTCTGCAGGATTTGACCTAAAGCATTCTAACAAAAAAACAAACAAACACAAAACAAAACAAAACAAATGAGAAGTTAAGGTCAACATGCCCATTATTGATTCGGGCCACTAAGACATTTCTCCACTTGCAGAAGGAAATGACAGACACACTAGCAACCTTCATGCCAAATCACAAGAATGGCACAGATCTGTGTCTCAAACACTGAATCTCATATGATTACCAATCACAGATCAGGAAGGTTTAAGGAAAGATGCATTGAGTGAAGGTAGCATTAAATGAGAATCTTCCAAACAGCTGAAAGACATTTGACATGTAGCCTCTCACATGTAGCCTCTCACCGCCGAGTCTCATAAGGATGCTTTCCAATCTTCTGTCTCAGCAGACTGATATCAATTTGTGTCGGTACAGGCAATACAAAAGTAATATTAATAAAGCAGCTGCAGGTAGCCTGTGGCGATGCAGCTATCAATAGATTATTAGTTCGACCTCCTCTAGGTATTCCTGGGTTGTGCAAATTGTGTGGGTGCACCTATAAGCCATAAAAACCATCTCTGCTGCTGTCATGGCTGAAATTAAAATTTGATTACATTTCTTTAAAAAGCTGAAAATTTAGGAACTTCAGAAACCTTCATCCCATGTAAGACACCAGGCAAAATAATTTTATGTAAAGAGGAGGGGTGAGAGAATGCAGAAACTGATAAAGCCAGAGGAAAGAGGAGTTTAAAAATAGAAACTTGCTGCTGCCAACACTTACACTGAAGTCGTAGCTCTTTCTAACACAACTGTAGCTGTATATAATGGAGCTCAATTAAACATGGGCATTACGACTTCATTGTAGTACTTTCAAACTTTGCACAAATTAAAGTGTTTTCCAGCAAATTGAGGATATTAAGGGATTTTCCTAGGGAGCTTCTGCTTGCTTGCTTGTTTGCTGGTTTACTCAGTCTTACAGCAGCAGTTACGGAGAGGATTTTTAGATACATCTTTTGCTTCAAAGGAAAATAAAAAAGACGGTGATAGCATCTTGCCTGCTGTTTAAAAAAGAAGCAAACAAAAGAACTTGATCCCTCCACTTTGGCAAAGAGGTTGAGCGGGACAGGATGCGGTACTGCATTCTATTACGTCTATAGGTTTGGGAAAGCGGTAGCCGGAGGAGAAGAGAAGCCGTGCGCTACCCAAATTCCCCCATCCTCAAGTAAAAATGAAAAAGAAGACGGCTCGATATCCGAGCAATGCGAATCAGGTGCACTTTCTTAAGGCACGGGGAGAAGCGATGCCCTCGGAGGCATCTGGGGCGCTCGCCACCCGCCACAATCCGAATCAAGTTGCGAGGCAAGTGCCCGCCAGGCAGCCCGAGGCTGCACTTCCCCGCCGTGGCGGCGGCGGCGGCGGCTGCTTGCGCCCGGTGCCTGTCGGGGCAGCCGGGTGGGTGAGGGGCTCCTACTTACGTGTACTGCTGAGGGAAGCTGTAGCCATCCGTGGCAGGAGCCGAAAGGACGAGGAGGAACAGGATTACTTGGCTACACAGAGCCGGGACGAGGCAAGACGCGCCGCAGGTCTGTGCCGAGATCGCCATTTTTCCATTAAAAATTCAGCGGCGGCACCAACTCTCGCCCTGTCCCCGGCGGCGGCGGCGGCGGCGGGCTGCGAGGACGCTCAGCCTCTGCTCAGCCTGGCGGGCTGCGAGGGGCTTGCTGGGAGCCGGCGCCGCGGGGATCCTCCGGCTACTCCGGGGAAGCCGGCCGACTACGGGGGCTGTGGCGGTGAGGGCGGCTGCAGCCCCGCCGCCTCCCTCGCTGTACTCAAAAGCCACGAGCGGGGCAGTTTCCAGGCGGCTGAGGCGAGGCAGCTCCGCTCGGGCTCGCTCCACAGCCGGGCGGGTTGTGCTACTCGCTCCGGCCCTCACGCGGCGGGCTCGGCTCCGTTATGGCAAACACTGAGCGAATACAAACTGCTACTTCCCCTCAAATAGGCGGCCAACCTGCCCAGCCTCCTCCCCTCGCATCCCCCACCCCTCCTCCTCCTCCTCCTCCTCCTCGCTGCATCCCTCGCTCCCGCCCGCACGGAACGCTCTCCATCCCCGGCAGCCGCCACCGCGCATGCGCCCCAGGCAAGCGGCTAGCAAACGAGCGCTCCCTGTCTCTGGACCTTTCGCTGGGCCCAAGTTGCCCGTGCGGTGCGCGCCCCGCCGAAGGCTCGCGCAGCCACCCTCGCCGTCCCCCAGGGGCCGGCGCGCGCCCTGGGCCGGCGCAGCACGTGCCGCCGCCGGGCCTGCAAGGCGGCCGCACTGGCTACCGGGCCCTTTTCCGTTGCGCTCCTCTTGCCCCTGAGAGCGACCCAGATTCTACCTGCCTGCGCGCGCACTCGCACGCGCACTGCCTACCCCGCCAGTGTTCCCCCAGTCCGGTGCAGGCACCCTGCCGGAATCTTCGCGCAGGCAGCACTTTCCAGGACAGGTTTCTCCACGGCACACAGCCCCAGGAGTACCTCCAGTTGGAAGTAGCACCTGCAGACCATGGTGATTCCTCAGCTGCAAGTTCCTCCAGGCTATTATTACAGAAAAGGATTGGGGGGTGGGTGTTCTGTACCGCATTTGAGCAGGGAGGATCACTGGAAATGAATACCTTGACAGCGCCCTTCAAAGTTCCTTGCAATGTTACCGAGTTTTAAAACTCTTGCTAAATTTAGAACCCCATCAAATAGTACAGTACACAGATTCAGAGAGCTTAGAGATTTGCAGTTTGTCTTATTTTGAACTGCAGTTCCTTTGTTTGAACTTTCCAAACTTGTGCAGCAACCTTGCCAACGGACCCCATATGTTAAAATTAGCCTGTCCAATCTCAAATATGTCCTTGGATATAGTTGTGACAACTCATAGGGCATTAAGCAAGTTTGAATTTTTGCATTTTGTGGGACTTACTTTCAGATGAATACATAACAGAATCAGGCTATGTTTATGTCATGCTGAAAGTGGTGTAAAAACTGGTGTCTCATTATTTTCCTCCAAAGCACAGGTAGCAAAGCAGAGTGAGAAAAGTCCAAAGAGATGAACTGCATTGTAAAATCCAAATGTAATCTAAGCTTTTGAACCCTGCATATGAAAGCAAGAAGGGCAAGTTAATTCCTTTGACATTATTTGTACCAAGTACATCATATTAAGGTTCCCTGGTGGAGTGGGGCAAGAACAGGAAACAATTAAGCTGTACAGAATTTTCCAGATCCACATCAATAAGGCATTCAGTGGCCTTTTGCAACAGGACAAGTGCAAACTTTCAAGGGCTAGCAGCATTTAGAGTATTAAAAGCAACTTAGGAGGCTCTTTGTGAATTGATCCCAGTGAGGGGAAAAATAGGAATGTACCTATTTAATAGGTATGACTGGAGGTTATAAGAGTGATTTCAGTCTGGCCTACTAAACAAATCTACAGTTCCAAGGGACTCTCTTTAAATGGTGCCATCTCAAGTCTGTCCTACATATTTCCAGAGTCAAGCATAGTGTCTGAAAATATTTGCATAATTTCTTAATTCTCTTTTAATTTGTCCTGGAGGAAGCCAACTAAAGGAATGGAAAGGTGGCAGTGCTGTGGCACTATATATATATATATATATATATATATATGAAGGCAAGTTGAGAAAGTGAGTTGAAAAACCATGTGAGTTGAGAGAGTGAATGACAGCATTCAACTGGACAGCTATTAAAAAGTATGATTGTGTGCTCCAAGCTCCACTAGGTTCCTTAAACTTGGCTGCTTTTTAGTGATGCTTCAGTGCATCTCTGGAAAACGTTTAGGCATAACTCTTGGTGTGACAAAGGGATAAATTGCAGTATTCTCTGAGCCTTATTTATGGCACTACAATTAGTAATCTTCCACATTACACAAAATGCATAAGGAATGAAATGTGCTTTTTCTACATTGAGAGTAGTTTGGAATAAGATTATTTACTTTATATACCACTTGACTTTATGAGATCCCTAAGCACTTTACATAAGAATTAGGTGGAAGGTGTTATCACTCATCAGTGTGTTTATTGTATCAAACTTTTGTGCAAAAATTAATATAAAAGCTTTTATATCCTGTCCTTCATTGAAAGTCTTAAGATGGTAAATCCAATTTTTTATATTCCCAACAACTGGACAGCCAAAGGAAGTGAGGTGGAGACATACTAAGAGGAGGGCCTTTTCTGTTGTGGCATCCTGGATGCTGAATTAGTTTCCCACAGAAGCTGATGTGACAACTGTGTCATGCACTTTCTGCACCTAGTGAAGATCATACTTTCCCAGGCATTTTAGTCTCCCCATTTCTGTCATTTTAAATCTTTTTGGTTGCCATCTAATCGGGCTGCCCATAACTGTCCAAACCCAGAGGATTGTGGACATACTGTGCACCGTAAGAGGAACGCAGAGGCAAAGGTCACCTCTGCACTCTTCCTGTGCAAACACTGAGAGGACCGATCTGGGGCATATAGGTGTGGTGCTAGGCAAGGAGGCTGAGGTTCCATCCAGATACTGAGCATGCTGCTGGAGCCTGACTCCTCCCCTGCCACCTCGACCCAAAGCCCATCATTAAGGTCACTTCATAACCTTGGAGCTGCTACCAGCACAGGTTTTTTTCCATGCTGGCTGCAAGGCGAGGGGAACAGATAGGCTGCCCGCACATGCAGTATCCTGGTGGCACGGCAGCCCCCTCTCCTTGTGCTCTGAAGTCTCACATGTAAAGCAGCTGAAATCATCAGTCTTAAATATTTTACAGGGAGGGAAGAGCAAATTTCCAGGATCAGAACTGGGACCAGAGTATCATACGGCTGTCTAGACTCTGTCCAGTGGCCAAAGGATTATGCTGCCCAAGTATTTAAAATCTTTGCACTGCTGCTGCATTGCATGTTGCTTTTTATTTTAATTCTATACTGTAGTTTGAAACTTGTACACTTTTATATAGTATTATAATCTTGTATTTTAACTGTGCCACTCAATTTCATTGCTACTGTCCTGCTCAATATTATTATTCCTGCAACTGGAATTGTTTTCAAAATTGTTTTTATGCGACATTAATATGTATATATAAACTGCTTGGGGACTTTAATACTTAGTGGTATAGAAATAGTACAAATAAACAAATGTTAGGGTCCTGATTGTTGTGAACCACCCAGACAGCATCAGCTACTGGGCAGTATAGAAATGAAATAGACAAAATGAGAATCCAGTATATGACCAAGATAGCTCTGCCAAATTCTCCCCACAACTCCTATAATTGGAGCTCAATATCAGCTACCACCACAAGCTAATATTCTATGATTCCCCCTGCTTCCTCTTGAATGGCTGTAAACTGACTTCACTTCAATTTTCTCTTTTTCCCTGTCCATTGAAAACCTGACAAACCCTCAGTGCCACTTATATCGTTGATGCAAATGGAACTCATACCTGCCTGCACTGGAACTTCCCAATCCCCTTAATTGCGTGTGATGCAAATCTGTCTCAAGGAATCTCCCAGCCCATAGAGATGTGTGGGATGGCTGTGCTGGGGAGGGGGAAATTGGTTCCAACAGCAGGAGGCTCTGCTAGATATAAGCACTGGATACAGCCTTTTGAAATCATCTAGGGGATCTCTTAAGGGAGAACATTCTTGAGGTGACTTCTAGAGATGTGGCTGGATCCAGGATTTGCCTTCTGTGGACAGAAGTGATTTGTTCATGAATTTTTGGGGAATGCTCCTCCCCACCACTTCAGCTACAGGCTACCACATTCCACTAGGCCCCCCTATATGTAGCACTTTCGGGGCTCTGGAGAGGTGTTGTGATATGAAGGGGCGCTTACACACACTTCTGCCAATCCAGCTGCAGGCACCAAAATCTAAGTGCAGCTGATAGGGTCAAGCTTGTTATCCCTTGAAGTAATTGTGTGATTCCCAGTTCTTCTGGTTTAGTGGCTCTTACTGTTGGTGGACTAGAGGTGGCTTGAGAAAGGGACAGTTGTGGCATCTCCCCAACCACATCCTCCTAGCTGCCTAGGAAGGCCTCTGCAGTTATAGGTGGCCTATAAATGTATGTATGTATGTATGTATGTATGTATGTATAAATAAATAAATCTCTGAACTGATTCTTACAACTATCCTCAGACAACTCTCATTAATCTCTTATGATGCAATTCCATGCATGTTCAGGCAGAAATGGCCTGCAACTCATAGTGTGCCCCAGCCAATGACTGTCAGGAGTGCATTTAGGATGGGGTGGAAAGCGCACAGGCAGAGTTATCTCCATATGCTTCCCTCCCCATCCCAGTCATGCTCTGGCCAGCCTGCCAAATGGCATGACATGGGGAAGAGGTATGTGAGGTTCTTGAGGGAACATGCTGTCCTGCAGGCAGAGGCATGGAATCCAGAGTATCTGGGAAAGGATGCAGTTTGACCACCCAACAGGCAGCACTGAAGTCCTGTAAACCAAATGGTACACATCTCATCCAGCAGACTGGAATATATTATATACTATAATCATACTCTTCTTTTTGTGGGGGCTCTTTTTTCCTCCAGCTAAATAGCTCTTATAAACCCTTTTTCCCTTAACATGAAATTCATTCCTGCTCTGCTCAATTTTATTGCCCTTCTCTGGGCCACTAGTAATCACACTGGCATGAGCAGAATTGCCCCAAGTTCTAAAATTTAAGATGCATGCTATTTTCTGCATTATTTTCTACCCCTTGCTTAATAAATCCTAACATTTTATTTATCTCTTCGAAGACTATAATACATTGAGCTTTGAAGGAGCTAGCCAAAGGATTCTGCAATGTATTTTTCCTGAACAGTGATGGTTTTAATTCAATAGGACTGACTGGTGTTATTTTCTAGTACTGTATCCATTTAATTCATCAT